AAAAAAAACAAAGGGCTTTTCAAGGACAGGGTCTAGGTCAGTGTTTTTCAACCTATTATATCTCACAGTACACCTGAAGCTATAGTGAAACTTCCATGGCACACTTATGTGGATTTAAAAAAAAACATAGAGTGAAAAAAGAATATACTTACTCTGCTTTGAACTTCTTTCGAAAATGATTTCATTAATGATCTTTAAAATTTTTCACAGCACACCTAAGATGCTCTCATGCCACACCAGTGTGCTCTGGCATGCTGCTTGGTCTAGGTACTGATGCTTTAAGGAAGGAAAAGGTGTTTGAGAATCAAGAGAAACAAGTTGATTGGAACCTGCTGAGTTAGAGGGGAAGGGATGGCACTAGAAGATCAGAGAGGTAAGGAAGAAATAGATAGTACAAGTCCTAGAGGGCAAGTTAATCCTTCAGTCACCCCAAACTGAAAGTATGTAAAAACTTTATGTCGCTCTTAAAAGTATCCATGTATACCTATGACCCTGGTTAACATCTAATTATACTTTTAAAGCCTACGTAGTTGATCACAGGTTCACTTTGTCACCCAAAAGCATGACGTAGAATGGGACAAATGTGTTTTTAACTTTTGTCATTGACCTGTTCACTCTGCCTACAGCTGTTTAAATTTACCTTGACCCCAAATCTTGTCAAATTTTTTGTATGAATTTATCCCACAGATGTACCTTTACCTTAAGGAGAAGCCTTCCATATTTGCCAAATTATAGCTGCATTAACTATTAAAATATCACCTCAAACGCCACATGCGTTTGCTTCTCAACAGGTTTTAGCTTCTTGATTTAAGCTCCTTCACAAGAGAATGGGGGTTTTAACAAAACACTGTTCCATCGTTGATGATAATTATATTTTATTTTATTAAGAAAATGGTTATATCAACATTACCACTTGTCAAGAACATTTATTAATCTCCCACAGCCATTTATTTTATTGAAGTAAAACTTTTTTGTGAAGCTGACTATGGAGTAAAACTTTGAACTTCAGTCTATTCATGAGTTTCTGATGCTTACATCATAAAGCTTTTTTTTTTTTTTTGAGACAGAGTCTCATTAGGTAGCCCTTGGTAAAGTGCTGTGGCGTCACAGCTCACAGCAACCTCCAGCTACTCTTGGGCATAAACAATTCTCTTGCCTCAGCCTCCCAAGTAGCTGATACTACAGGCAACCTCCACAGCATCTGGCTATTTTTTGTTGCAGTTGTTTAGCTATTGCTTAGCTGGCCTGGGCCTGGTTCAAACCCACCACCCTTGGTGTATGTGGCTGGCGCCATAACCACTGTGCTATGGTTGCTGAGCCCATAAAGCTATTGTTAAAACAAGACTAATCAGGGGTGATAACATTTGCTCATTCTCTATATCAGGTATCCTCAAACTACAGCCCGTGGGCCACATGCAGCCCACCTAGGACATTTATCAGGCCCACTGAGTGTTTTTGCCACCACTGCCTATCCTGCTTAGCAGCCAACTCATCCCAGGGCCTGCAGTCCAGCCCTCCAATGGTCTGAGGGACAGTGAACTGGCCCCTGTTTAAAAAGTTTGAGGACCCCTGTTGTATGTTCATTATCTAATCTGACACAATTCTGTACACTGAGAATGGAACTATTAACAAAGGTGATAAAGCTTCACTAGTTTCTAGTGGGAATGGGGAATGGGGGAATAGATGGATATAGGTGAATAAACAATAAATAAATGAGTAAGTAAATATGTAAAATAAGGTAAATATGAATCACCAAAAGGAAAAAATAAATCAGTAGAAGAAAATAGAAAACATGTGGGGGAATAGACAGTTTAGACATTTTACATTTGTCAAGAGACCTGAATGAAGAGAGAAGATACAAGTGATGCTAACTGGAGGAGCAAACCAGACAACAGTGCGAGGATAAAGGCTCTGGTGTGGAGCACACCTGGCTGTACGCGGTCAGAACAAGTGCATAGGGAAGAGAGAGGAAAGAAGCAAAGCCAGAGAGCTTACAAGGTCTTGATCATATGGGTCAAAGAAGGACTTTGGAGTTTATTGTAAATGTGTTGAGACACTCCAAAGGCTATGTGCATTGGGACTGACTATGACTCACCTAACTAGATCATTCTGGCTGTGTGTGGAAACTTTGGGGAGAACAAGAATGGAATCAGGGAAAACAGAAGACTGTGATCAGTTCAGGATAGGCGCTTGACTAAAGATGGTGATACTAAAGTGGGAAGTAATGTGAATCTCAATCTTTGTCTTGTTATCTTTTTGGTTTTCAAGGCAAAGCCAATAGGGTTTGCTCATAGATTGAATATGGCATGTGAGGAAGAGAATTTAAGAATGATCTCAAGGTTCTGCCCTGAGCTCTACAAGGATGGTGGTACTACTGAGCAAAATGAGAAAGATTAAGAAGAGTAGGTTGGAGGAAGAGAAGCAAGACTTTGTTCTATCTCTATAAATAGATATCTGGTGACAAGATCACCCCTATCATCCAACATGCAGGAGAAACCCCAGAGCCAGAAACATAAATTTTGGAGTCAGCTACATACAGATGATATTTAAGTCCATGGCATGATGAGATCTCTTAGGAACCGTATACAGATAGAAACAAGATGTTGCAAGTAAGAACCAGGAGGCACCCTAACTTCAAGGATCAAGGACCAAAAAAGGAGAAATAAGGACTGGAAACTGAGAAAGCATTCCTTTGAGTTATGAGAAAAATCAGGAAAGAGTGGTATACCAGATGAAGGCTGTATCAGGAAGGAGGGAGTGGTATACCAAATAAAGGCTGTATCAGGAAGGAAGGAGTGGTATACCAGATGAAGGCTGTATCAGGAAGGAGGGAGTGGTATACCAGATGAAGGCTGTATCAGGAAGGAGGGAGTGGTATACCAGATGA